ATGCGCATTCTCAGTGAGGCTGTCTCAGAGATCTCCACCTCCTGCACTAGGCTGGGAAAGACTGGGCTGTGGTCATTTTGGTCCATCACCTCCACACGAACTGACAGGAAATGCATAGCACCACCCTTTCTGTAGAGAACACTGAAGGCCAGCTCACAAAATTCTGCTCCCCAGCATAGCTCTTCTCGGTCCAGACTGCCTAGTGTTGACACGGTACCATCCCTTACATCAACTGTGACTGGTAGAGTATGCCCATGCGGCACGACCCGGAAGTTTTCCAGTGATCCTGTTTCCCCACGTTCACGTAGGTCATCCAGGAGGCGACCCACCCTTGTCCCTGAGGGCTGTTCTTCCCAGACATGATACAGGATAACGAGGGGAGCAGAGCCCATATTGTGGGCATGACAGGGTGGACACTCAATAAGAGCTGCCAGAAGGAGCAAGACCTGGAGCATGACTGTGTGTGAGGTTTCCTATTTCCTTTTACGTAGAGTCAGATGTGCTAAGCAACTAGATAGGCATTCTAATACATCAAAAGATACACATGTGCCTACGCAATATGGTTAAAAAAAGAAATACTAAAAAGGAGAAAACTGTTGTTTTAGATAAAAAAATTAATGACAGTACCACCACAACCAGGTGCTTTGTAAACGACCATTTACAGTAAATATGAAAGTCACAAAAATGGGAAAATGATAATTGCCATCACAAAGTTTCACAGTTACAACTTTATAGTAGTGTTAGCCTATATTAACATTGAGATTTACTGATATCAACAGACATACCTCACCACAATAATTAAACAGTAAACACCCATGGAAAATAATGATCACTATTCAGACAACTAAATCACTTTTATAAAAGTATAATTCCAGACAATTCTAGTTTATAAATAAAGTTATCATCTCCCTTAGCCAAATCAATGTTATTCTACAGCTCTACTCACTCACACACAGCTGCTGCTTCCCGGCCCAGGACTCCAGTCAGCATTAAAGTGAGGAGCTGAGGAACTTAAGGGGCTGGGACGGCACATTCAGGGGGAATGGCCTGAGAGCCAATGACAGATAGTGAGGGAGGAGTGTACAATGCTGCTTAACTCCACCCATCTGTAGCAAGGAGCGGATTTAGAAGAAATGAAGCTGTGCTTTTAATGAAACATGATCCCACTTCTTTCATTCACTGCCTCCAGCTCTTCACACACCTGACTCCTTTTCCAAACTGTCTAAATAAACACAGTAAGAGTCATGGTCTATGGCATCTGTCATCAGAGTTGAAGCAAACCTAAGATGAGACCTTTAGGGGCCCTGAAAACAAAAACAAGGCCTGGAGCTGAACTCTGAGGGTGCTGATGTAAAACTGCATTTTGTTTCAATTTGAAGCATCTCATGTTTTTCTGAAATGGCCATCAGTATTCAACAAGCATTTATAACAAAACTGCTGATAAAAATGCTGATATTTGTGATTAATTTTTAGTACATCTTTTTACTCAAATTGTTATGCTGCATATAATTTATGATGAAAAGAAAAAGGTTCTGATTAAATAAATTGACAGTTATACTAGTGGTACAAACATATACATTCCCTATTTGAAGCATCTCATGTTTTTCTGAAATGGCCATCAGTATTCAACAAGCATTTATAACAAAACTGCTGATAAAAATGCTGATATTTGTGATTAATTTTTAGTACATCTTTTACTCAAATTGTTATGCTGCATATAATTTATGATGAAAAGAAAAAGGTTCTGATTAAATAAATTGACAGTTATACTAGTGGTACAAACATATACATTCCCTGTTTTCATAAGCCAATATATTTTTAATATTTTAAGTAGAAATTAAGGTCAGTTAAAGTATTATGAATGAACATTCATCTAAATAAATGCAAAATATATATATAAATGCTTATATATAATTTCAACTATTCCCAATGGTTTTGGTTATACAAGCAAGAGGATAATATGTTATTGAAAGCTTGTGGCCAATAAAAAGAGGATGGTGAAAGGGGAAAAGTGCAGACCCCCACTTCCCCTCTACATGGCGGTCTCCTAACACAAACTATCCCATTACCTGCAAGCCAATAAAAGCTTTTCCCAGAGTGATAACACAGAGCTGCATGATAACAGAGAGGTGACGTGACATGTTACTGCAGCCCTGTCCCCTGTGCTGTTCAGAGACAGCGGGGGGAGTTCAGAGGCCTTAACTCTTGAGTGCACATTTAAGTTGGGTCTAATGCTGGTGAATTGGGCAGTAGGGAGTTTTCCTCCTCTAAGAGCTAGTGTGCATGTGTTTCTCAGGGGTCAGAGGTCACTCCATGTGATTGGTGTCTATCTCTAAAATAAACAGGCTTGGCCTTCACACATAATCCTCTCTCCATTTTCTAATTAACTCCATCTGGAACAAATACTGACCATCAGTTTGTCTACCCATGTTCTCTTATTTCTTTTCTCTCCATTTACTTTCTCCCCTTTGCTCTCTTTCTGCAGTTCACAAAGGATATAGATTGAGATTTTTTGTGTATTTTATTTCATTTGAAAAGAAACAGACACCACAAATAATTGAAGAACATGTCCACATCATGTTTTACCTTAAAAAAGAAAGAAAGTAAAGAAACCTAAATATTTTTTTCCCACTTTTAGTTTTTTGGGGTGAAATATGACCTGGGCATGTTCTTGAAAGGTTTCATAAGATTCATTAATATGGATATATTTTTCAATAATTTAATGAAGTTAAATGGTGAGAAGCATCAAAGCGAAACAGTAAAAAGGATAGATAGTGAAGCATACCTTCCTCACTCATGCATCACACACATGCATGTGTACAAAAAATATAATGCAATTATTTGTGAGGTTTTCCAAATGAAAAGCAGAATATCCTGTATCTGGCTGCCACATTGCTTCGCTGAGGTTTTCTTCAACACAGCATATGTGAATTAAATTAGACCACAGTCCCGACACACTCTGTGTGTGTTTCACACTGACCTCCCCCAGTGCCCGGGTTTCCCCCTTCCCATTTCCACTACCTCCACCTTCCCTTATCACAGTAGGATGAGGGATCTAAACATCATTGTACTGCTTAAACAATAGACGGTGACACAGTAAAGCAGCCGGCAGAGATGAACTGCTGGTTGCTGTTGATGTTTTCAGCAGACGGAGAGGAAATGGTGAAGACGCACATAAACAAAAGTTTCACTGGCTTGAGGTTAGTTTGCCTCATCTGAGGGCTGGAAGGAATGCCGAACAATCTCACAACACATTCCTGACAGACGACAGCCTCTTATCTCCAGATGGATATTTGAACAAACTATGTCCATCTGACAAACAAGCTGTCCTGTCAAGCACTTTGTCTCGCAACATATAGCAACAAAAGACATACAGCAACAATCCCAAATTCTGTTGAACCATATCACAAAGTCTCATCTCAGAGGGAGATAGTCTAGCAGGAGTGAAGATCTGCTGACCTTCACGTCTCCTCTGAGGACGAAGAGAGACTGACACTTTGTGTGTTCAGGAGCCTGTCGAGACAAGAGCACAGCCTCTTAAACACTCCACCTCTGACATGATTCACACCTCATCCTGAGGACAGAGCCTTGAGACAAATCTGCCTCGGCTGATCCATAAACAGAGATATGGTGGTGTGGGGGAGAGTCGGGGGGCTTCCAGTGTTTCAGGGCAGGAAGCAGCTGATCTACTGAACTAGATGTTCATTTTAGGACAAGGGGCAGGACGCAAGCTAGGATATGATCACCAAGGAGAGAATTAAAAGACAGAGCTAATAAGCTTATGTTGGTTTATTAAAGAGAGAAGAAAACACTGAAACACCATTTTCAACAATATGTCGACCACATGCAAAACTCCTGTTCTGTCATCAACTATACAGAATCAAATTCTGACTTTACTCAAATCAGTTCACAGTGCACATAAACCAGAAGATGAAAGAAGATTAGAAAGATGCAAAGAAAGAGCAATGGCTGGTTAGTGTATCAGCACTGTCAATGCATTAGTTACAGTACTTTGATTCAAATGAGTGTCAAATGATCATTTTTAAACAGTCAATTATTTTAAGTGAATAATAATAATAATTGTTCTGTGATCAAAGCAGACTAGGTAGAAAAATAAAAATAATAATAATAACGAAAATAGGCTCTTTTTACAGTTAATAACTGTAAAATTTTTAATTATTTCCAAATATTTCACAAACTGCATTGCCCAACTATTAATATTGTCTGTGATGAGTTAAATTCCCCGAAACACTTTATGGGAATGACAAGACACTGTTTTTGGGAATTTAGCACATTACTTTCATTATAAGCAATTGGGAAATGCCTAAAATAAAACATAGTGAAACAAATGGGCAGACAGTAACATTTCAGTGGACATTGGCTTTGGTTTGGTTTACTCGGTGGGCATTTATGGCACAGTGTGTTTACAAGACTTGTGCAAGCAAATGTCATGTTCGTCATGGAGGAAGGAGGTGATTTAAGTGTTTCTAATGAAAAATGTATCATTGTGCACACTGGATATGTGCAAGAGGTGAAAAAAAGCTAAATAAAGGACAAAGGCAACAGCTAGCATGAAAAAGAAACATTCAAAGTATAAAAAATGTGGTAACCTGCAACTGTTACTATTAAAGAGCTTCTTTTTTTTAACCTGATTTATACCATAAAATTGTGTTTTCTTGGTATGAATGAATGTAGGTTGTTCAGTGAAAAAATTAGGGTGTATAAAGTCACAAGACATTTTCAGAATCGATTCAATACACTGTTTTTGGCCAGTGGCTCAGACCCCTGCTACCCACAATCCACTGCATTCATCACTTTCACAAATACATGCACATTCCCGTAATTTGTTGTGGCAAAAGCACATGCCAAGATCAAAAATATGGATGTAATGTTCCATAACATCGCTGATAAGTTGCTGAAAAAGTAAACAGAGCACATGATAATGTATTGGTGTTTCAGTAATGGGCATTTCCCTGATTCAAGTCCAGCCCTGGGTTGACTGCATGTTTAATGATTACACGCTGACACAATGTTGCACAATAAGTCGGGTTTTACTCCAGATATAAGCTCGGCTGGGAGATAAAAGCTGAACAGAAGAGAGAAATCTTCATCAGACTCAGAGCCATGCTGCGCTTCATTTTCTTCCTGATGTGTCTTTTGCAGTTAAGGCAAGGTAAGTGGGCTATGATTATGAATATTGATATGATAATTTTTTTAAAATTTTTTAAATGTGGATTTTAATGTGAACACACATTATTAGCTACTAAATGTTGAAGTTGCAAATAAATCAAAGTAGAGTACGTTTTACAAGAAAATACAATTTCAGTCTTTTTTACTTCACACTTGTGCCATTTCTTTGCAATTATTTGTGAAATTTACTAGCCATTTCTGAGAGAGAGTTGTTTCAGTTTATCTCTCTTGTTGTCTGCAGTGCTGAGTGTTATGGGAGCTGTCACCCCAAAGCCAATTATCATAAATGGCACCTACATAAACCCAGAATTAGGCAAGTATCATGCTAGGTTGAGGACCCTCGCTCGCAGCTGCCTGGATGTCAAAGAGCAACACGGCGCTTCGCAGGGTAAGCACTCTGGAAGTCTCATGAGTTAGGTTTTATTCAAAGTTTTCTTTTTAAAGCCATTCTGAAAATGCAAACACAGCACCAATCGAATGTTTAGACACACTGAATTTATGAAAACTATTTTGATCTAAAAGCTTGTGCTTCAATGCGTGAAATTAGGTTTGGAGACAAGTTAGGGTTAGGAAAAAGTTTGGAATAATCAAGATTTTTCAGTTTTCGAAAGAAGTCTCTTATGCTCAACAAGGCTGCATTCATTTGATAAAAATACAGTAAAAAGAGTAATATGGTGAAATATTATTTCAATTTAAGATAATATATTTTTAATATGTAATTTATTTCGGCACTCTAAAAAATGCTGGGTTAAATGCAACCCAGTGCTGGGTAAAATAGGGACAAACCCAGCAATTGGGTTGTTTTGACCCAGCGGTTGGGTTACTATCCAGAAGGTTGCAACCCGATCTCATGAAAGTGCGTATAAATAGTATGCCAAATTAAAACGAAAACGCGTGGTGCTGATACGTAAAATGGACTTTGGCGTGTATATGCTATGCGATGGGTAGGTTTAGGGTTGTGGGGTAGATGCGTATTATATGTACGCGAAAAGTGCGTATCAGGGGCGGACTTACCCATTAGGCGAAGGTAGGCGACCGCCCTGGGCCCCCAAAAGCCAAGGGCCCCCTAAAATGCTTTTCATATAGGATATGTGCATTAAGCGCTGACACGCGAACTGTTGCTGTTTACGGTGTTTATTACATGCACGACAACCGTCCGAGTCTGTGGCGTCTGCAGGTGTAGGGCTGTACGCACTGTGAGTACCGTGAGCACTCAGGCTGATCTCAGATTTGCCCCGCAAACATTTCAGCAGTTATTATAGGCCTGTGTGTCCCATATTTCTGTCGACTGAACCAGCCATGCCGTTAATTATGAATTTATCAGTCTTTTGCATGCCAAAGTCAATTTCTGCATAGAAATATTATGGCAAATAGAAGCAGAAAATCGTGCTATACGCACTTTCATGAGATCGGGTTAGCCTACAACAATGAATTTGTTGGCTATTTTACAAATGGGAATACAACGAATTCATGACCATTTTTACAGTCAAGCTACCCTTAAAATGTATAGTGAAAAGTACTTTAAAAGCGTTTGGAATACAATAAAATAATTTTAAAGCTGTTTTTTAAAGCATTTGCTGCATGGATAAAAAATATAAATAATTAACACATCATACAAAATTGCGTTGCAGCAAATCCTTTAAATTTTAAGGTATTCAGAACAGAGCAACATAAAAATCAGAAAAAGCAGCTATACAATTATAGGACAAAGTTTTACATATATGCCATTATAATTAGTGTTTTATTTTTTAACTGTACGGAATTATAAAATAAAACGCAAATTATAATCGGGCCTTCCATCAATTATAGTGATGAAAAAATGACTCGCCATCTCCTAACTGGATGTGCCTTTAGAGAGAAATGCAGGGATTACATAATGAAAGAGTTTATTTTATTAGGAGTCTATTTTCGATTTGAATTATTTCGTTTTAAAGTAGTAATTTAAAGCTTTCTATATATTTTAATCATGTCTGAGTTTAGGTTCATCATTGTAAAGTGCTCCTGTTCAAGACCGAGACAGCAGAAAGCATTTGTTTTCTTTATTTTATAAAAGCACAACGTTTTGTTGATATTGTGAGTGCACACAAATAAAAGTAGACCCTTTACAGTTTAGAATGATGTATTACTCTTACCTTTATGAGCAAAAATGACTGCATATTTTAAGTAGTTTCCACTGTTAGAAAAAAATGCAAGTGATCGCACTGGCCCCTCCATGTGCTGCAGAGCTTCAGCTTCCACTCCTCCGCAAACGATTGGATAAGCATCTAACAGTGCACATTTATATAGTTTAAACATTTAAACTAACATTGTGATATACTTGAACTGTTTTATATATAGATGTTATTTTAGGTAAGTCCTGATGATTTGAGAAGGCTAAATTGATCAAACATAGGCTATGCTATGATCAGTTCACTGTCTGCCGCTGGCCTTTACTTAAAAAAACTAAAAAAAACTTACATTTAACGAACAAAAAATACTCCAAATGTGATTCTAAATTTACTTTATAAAAAAAACGAAACTAAATATAATCACTTTTCCATTACATACAAAACTGAACTATTTTAATAGCTGAAACAGTAGTATAGGCTTTTTTGGGGAAAAGGGGAAAAAAGACGGGCTATGTTTGAGACCCGTGCAGGGCTCAAATTTTTCTCATCTGTGAGCATGCTCTTGATATATGTATTATAGGTGTGTAAATGTATAATTGCCTTTTCATAATTTTTTCAGTTTCATTTAAATTTGTAGTTAAAACAACTAAAAATACATGTATTTTAAAGTTTAGAATTAGACAGCCGTTGCACACAGGCTTACGCTGAAAATAACCTCAAGGTTGATCTAGGAAAATGTGTGCAAATGTATAGGGCCCCACTCCTATATTTTGCCTGGGGCCCCCAATTCACTAAATCCGCCCCTGCTGCGTATCATATGCACGCCAACAAATTTCGTATCATATGCACGCAAAAACTGCGTATTATATGCACGCCAAACACATGCGTATCATATGCACGCCAAAAATAAATTTTTGCGTATCAATACCACGAGTTTTCGTTTTTATTTGGCGTACTATTTATACACATTTTCATGAGACCGGGCTCGGTTAAACATTTAACCCAACCGCTGGGTCAAAACAACCCAATTGCTGGGTTTGTCCCTATTATACCCAGCACTGGGTTGTATTTAACCCAGCATTTTTTAGAGTGAAGTGGTCAAAGCTGAAATGTTCAGCATCATTACTCCAGTGTCATCATCAATCATTCTAATATGCTTGATTAGCTGCTCAAGAAACATTTCTTATTATTATCAATGTTGGAAACAGCTTTTTAACAAAATAAAATAAAAAATAAATAAAATATATGCAGATTTAGATAAATCTTTTGTTTTATTTTGTCGTGATTTTGTTCAAATACTGTTTTTCTATTTACAGTGTGATTGTATTAAAACCATTTAGGGTCAGTTTGACCTGCAAACATCTTAATAATTATTAATTATAAAGTATATAGAAGCCAAGACATCTGGTCACATTATTGTAAATGTATTAAATAGATTTTTTTGTAAACTTAATAGATATTCATATTTATTTATTTTTATTTCATGATGAAGCAAAAACTGATTATTATAGTGAGATTTCAGGGTGTTTTTGTTTAGGCTCATTACTGTAATGTCTCCAGTACACTTTATTATACAGGTTATTCATATTTATAACTAATAAATAAATAATAGGGTATGTTTGCTGCATCATGATATTAATAATGAATCAAATAAGATCTTAATTCATTTTGAAATCTAAACTAATAACATTTTTTGATTCAAATAAGTATGTATAAGCTTTTTAATTCAGCATTTACGTCATGAGTCACTAACACACAGGTTCAAGAGGAGACTGGTTTTCCTTTGCTAAAGTAAGGAAACTTTGCTTCCTTTGCTCCTGTAAACAAACGTTGGTCTTCACGAGACTCACCGGCGCATGCGCTGAACTCATACATCATCCGCCCGGAGCTGCTTCAGTGTACAACAGTGAGTACAAGCTACATTAAAGTGATTATTACGTTTTGAATATGGATATTTTTCTTTAAAAAATGCATCGATTTGCTACAGAAGGCCTTTGTTCGCCCCCAGGAGCCGTGTGAGATACTTATTTTAATGGATGGGCGCTTTTTATTTAACTTCTTTTGGACTGATGCATGCAACACCTGCTGAGTGCCATTAAACGGCTTGAAAGATCAAAGACTATTTTCAATATAACTCCGACTGGATTCGTCTGAAAGAAGAAAGTCATATACACCTAGGATGACTTGAGGGTGAGTAATTTATGGGGTAATTTTCATTTTTGGGTGAACTAACCCTTTAATGCATTTATAAAGGCAAGTAATTAATTGAACACCTTTATAAACACTTTACGAAGGGAACCTTAATATAAAGTGTTACTGATACATAAATATGCTAATGAATGCATAAACATGTTTACAGCTAATTTATACTTCAACATCCCTGTAGAGAAACTAATATTAGGGTTAAAGTTTTTGCTCTGTCCTTGTAGTAATACAGATGTATATTCTCTTTCACTGACTCACACACACACACACACACACACACACACACACACACACACACAGGCAGCCCCCACACACCCCTTCTGCATCCTTGAACGCGTTTCCTGCAACAGGAAGCAGCAAAAATCTCATATGATTTTTTTCCTGTTGGCCAAAAACACAACTTCCTCTCCAAGCGGCCAGGTCAGTTGAAAGAGAACATGCACCTGTGTGTTCAAGCCAAAGCGAGGGTGAAAGAGAGAGACAATGAAGTATGAATGGCTCCTCTGGGGCTGCTGAGATTATCGCCCTATTGCTTCTCACACAGTACTGTAAAAATCCCACATTGGTGAGTATAATAAAATCAATCCAGACACTGTACAAAATGACTGAATTATGTTTTATGAGTAAAACAGTCTTTAAAAATTTCACATTTAATCAACCATGTTACTTTGTAATTATTTGTGAAATGTACTAGTGAAAAATGTTTCAAAGCCATTTATCAGTGTGCAGCATTGCAGTATGTTCAGAGGTTTGTATCAGATTAATTACAATTAATTCACTGTTACATCTTATTTCATTAATATAAGAACATTTGGGTCTTAAAGTGTCACACAGTATAGAAAACCTATTTGATGTAGGCGTTCGCTCACTTGGGTCACGGTGAAGCGGGCAGCAGCTGAGAACAGCTATAGGAAATGAGAGCTTTCAGCGTCACCGAGTGGCGACATGACACCTTTAACAAGCCGCTCTCTACTTCCTGTTGCTGATAAGACTGAGCCAAGAGACACAATGATTACACTAAACCACACACTGGCACTGGAGGGTGTGTGTTAGCGT